GCTCTCCGCCGCGGCGCTCACGCTGGCGGCCCGGCCCGCGCCCGGCCCCGGCCTCGGCCCCGGACCCGGTGAGTGAGCGAACCCAGAGCGGAGCCCGCCCGGGGGCCCCTCCCTCCTGCCTGTACCCCGGGACGTGTTCGCCGAGCCCCTCGGCTAGGCCTGAGCCCCCCAGTGGCCACCAGCCCCAGGAGGCCTGGCACTTCTCTGCGCCCCCGGCCCCCGGCCTGGACGCTCTTGTCGCCCCCGTGTCCCCGGCACTCCTTCGCCAAGCGCTGGCGACTGAACTTCTGTCCCGGACCCTATCAGGATCTGGTCCCCAAGTTCCTCAACAACAGCCCTCGGGGCGGGAGGGTTCCCCGCCTCCAGGCACTGTAGCCCCTAAGTTTCTCGGTGTCACCGCCCGGGACCAGGACGCCTTCGCCGAGCCTCACTGCGAGGCTCCTTTGCCTCCTGCCTACCCGCGGAACAGCGGGCACCCAGCCCTTCTGGCTAGTCCCAGCCGCGCCTGCTTGAGCGACCCTTTAACTTCTGCCTTAACAGCTGCCAAGTTGATTTGCTTGCTTGACCCCGCTAGAGACAAGTCCCGGTCCTGGGACGAACCGCTGTACCCATCCTGGATGGCCCCTACCTCTTCCGCCCCTGAGGCCTCTTTGAACTTCTCCAGTACTCAGGTGACCGTCCAGCAGCAAGAGAGAGAAAAGGAAAGGGCGATGGGGAACTTCTCCGTGCAGTGCCTAGGGTCTGAGTGTGTAATGCTGAGTCCCGTGTCCTGGGTAACACCACAGTTTAAACAGGTTACCCGGCTTGTGCTCCAGCTCCGAAAGCCAAGGCCAGGTCTTTTTGAGGTGGGATCCTGGATCGGAATGGGAGCTGGTACTTTGCTTAGTTAGCTTTCCCGCATCTTCCTGGTAGTAGAATCCTTTCTAAGTTAAAGAATGGGCAAGAGGGCGTTGTCTAGCCCAGTGAACTTTCTCTGCAGGTTGTTTGGGTGTTAAGCCTGGGACATTTGTGAAAGGGGAGGGAAGAGTTCATTACCGATCTGCTGGAGCAGAAAAACCAGCCTCTGGGTTCTCCACCCAAACTTAAGGACTTCGTTGTTGGAAAGACAGGATTTTTTGCTGGTGAAAGAAAACCCAAGGGTTGTTTTGTGCCAGGGATGATGTCGCAGGCCTGTAATCCCAGCATTCAGGAGGTTGTCGCAGGAGGATCGCTATAAGATCAAGGCCAGCTTGAGCTACATAGTGAGTTCAAGGGTAGCGTAAACTACATAGTGAGACCCAGTCCTCAAAAAAGCCCAAACAACAACAACACTAAGAGTTACTTCGTTTACACACCAACTTGGGTTAATGCCAGGACTTGGTGTTCTGTTTTGCTGTGTGACTTTGGGCTATGCCTGTGTGACTTTGAACCTCAGTTTCCTCATCTGTAAAGAGAGGTGGTGATGCTAATTCCCTTGCAGGGTGTTGTGAAAGATTAAATGATATACTGTTGGTAACACGTGTAGAGAAGGCAATCAACATATTTGAATAATACTTTATAAGTGTTTTGAAGTTACCAAGTGCTAGTAACCTCATTTACTCTGGGAATGCTGTAAGCTTCCTGTGTGATGAATCCCTGAAAAAGGCAAAGCTTAGGTTTAGATCAGTAGGACAAGGGTCTCCAAGCACTGCAAACCTGAGGCTCAGTAAGTAGTTTCTGAGTGATTGTTGCCTTCTATGAGACTTTTACAATTTGCTCATTTCTACTGTTTGTCTTATATGAGGAATGAGAGAGGGACATTCTGAGAGCCAGGATATGTCAACATAATTGTAACCTAGTAACCTCTTAGCTCCACTTTGCCATCTGTGTATTCAGGATTTAATGTCCTCTATGGAGAGAGAGGTATGGGTAGAAATAAACTGATTCTGCCTCTGGAAAGGTCAGAGTAATAGCTCTGAAAATTGTTTCAGTGAGCCAAGTCTGTGCTTATGTTTGTTGGAAAGTGGCATCTCTCCATTCACCTTTGCTTTGCTAGGTCAAATGTAGCAAGCAATTAACCAAAAAAAAAAAAAAAAAAAAATGTAGCAAGCAGCTTTTATGTAATTTAAACACTAAATAAATCTTAGTGTGAATCTTGGGGGGGGGGTCAGGGCAATAACCATTGTGATATGTAGCCCAAGTTCTTAATTCAGAGCTTCACTAGTTTCTAACCATCTTCATTTGGTTTCTAACCATTCTGATTCATTAGTGCTTCTGAGATCTTTCCTCTGTAGTTACAGAAGCAGTTTTAGAGATATACCACATGTTCTTCAGCATCACATCCTGTAAAGAGCGTATCCACTAGTTTTTAAAAGTCCTTTCCAATAAAAAACACGTTTTATGCTGAAGATAATGCCAAGCCTGCCATTTCATATTTTGTAATACTATAATTTTCTCTAAAATTTTGTGGATGGAAAAAATTATTCCAATACTTATATTCTGCACAATTTTGTAATATTTAAATTACTGGTGGTTTGCATTTTTGAATGCTGACTTTATAGAAACAGCTCATTCCCCATCAATGCTACTTCTAATTACAATGTATAGGCAACCGTGAATGATCCCACTTCACTCCATTCTCTTCCTTCCTTTACAACTGATAAGAAGGAGGATAGAGGGGCTGGAGAGATGGCTCAGTGGTCTAAAGCATCTACTCAGAACAAGCTTGGCAAAGCACAGGGACCGCGGTTCGATCCCCCAGCACCACATGCCAGCCAGCCCGCCCCCGCCCCCAGGTGGGCTGAGCTGGCCACACACACACACACACACACACACACAAAATGAATAAATGTTTTAAAAAATAAAAAAAAAAGGAGGATAGAGATTGAAGGGGGAATCTAGACTGCCCTCTGAGGAGGAAAGGCAGGGGAGCCATGGGGCTAATGGCCTCTCAGTAGTGGGTTCTCCTGTGGGATTTACTGACCTTTAGTGAAGGGCAGCGAAGGCTCAGTGGACTTGGGTTACTTGAGTTCTCTGTTTAAGGCAAATTGCTCAGGCAAACAGCTCCCTTGGGAGTGTTACAGGGCTTGTGTCTGCTAGGTGTGCATCAACAGAGCTTATCCATTCAGGTTACAGTTACCTTTTATAAATATGTAAGTTGATGTTTGTTCTTCCTTAACACTTCATCAGGAACTTGTTTCATTAGCAAGTAGTATATCTTGCCATAACACTGAAGAGATTAGTTAACATCAGACGAATCATTCTGTCTATAGTCTTGCCTCTTTTGGGGGCTTCATAGTGCTAATACTGGGGAGTTAAAGGTGTAAAACAGACCAACATTCATATCAGTTATTTGCATGCTCAAGATGAAGCACTATTTTGACTTGACATCAAAGAACTTTAATAATTCTATGAAAATTTGTTTTGACCTCTAGAGAAATAAATTAAATGTTTCAGATAAGCAGTGACCCCCTTTGTACATCTTAAATCAGTGATGTTGAACCTACGAACACATATGCTGTGGCAGGCTGTTTGTTACCACTGAAAGCACTAAAAGGCTCACTGTCTTTCTTTTTGTTTTTCTTTCTTTTTTTTTTTTGCAGTACTGGGGATTGAACTCAGGACCCTGCACTTGCCAGACAAGCACTTATTCCACTGAGCTATTTCCCCAGCCCTTAAATTAATGAGATGTTTTTTGTTTGTTTGTTGTTTTTTTTTTTTTTTTTTTTTTTTTTTGTACTGGGGTTTGAACTCAGGACCTTGCCCTTGCCAGGTCATTGTCTTAAAGTAAGAAAGAATTGCTACATTTAGGCTACTGCTAATCAAGAGCAAGTTGGTGCACTGGGTATAGATATTACTGACAGTACTTGTGGTTTAGTACAGTTATACTATAAGTAATAAATTATTATGATAAAATAGATTGCTTCACAGTATCCAGATCAGGGAGTTTTTTGTTTTGCTTTGTTTTTGAGACAGAGTCTTTCTATGTAGTTCAGGCTGGCCTTGAACATGCAGTGATTCTCTTGCCTCAGCCAACTCTGACTTTGTAGGGCAAAGGCAGCCATAGACAAAATATAAATGAGCAGAGGCATGACTGTGTTCCAATAAAACTTTATGGACAGTTTTAAATTTCATATAATTTTTATGTGTCATATTATCCTTTGAAATTTTCAAATTTAAAACCCAGTCTTGCTTGTGGCCATACCAAAAATGGGCCAGGTTTGGCCCTCAGGCTGTACTTTACCAAGTCCTGCTCTAGGGCCATGTGTTTGAATGTTTTTTTTACTGTTCACAGGTCTGAAAAAAGTGACAAGGAGGCTTTTAGTGATTGGAGGAAACTTTTACCATTTATTATTAATTACCTTTAAGATACACATGGAAGATCCACAGCAATAGAGAAAACAACGTAAAAGCAAAGATACATACAGGAGTCTGGCACAGTGGTGCACATCTGTAGCTCCAGCCACTTGGGAAGCTAAGGCAGGAGGGCCACTTGAGCCAAGGAATTCAAGTCCAGTCTGCACAATGTAATGAGTCCCCATCTTACGAAAAAAAAAAGACATATATATGAAAATTTTTCAATAATTTTAAAACTTAACCGTGATTTTTAAAAATAATACTGGTGAAGGAAAGTTCATGAACATACACTTGAATCTTTAATTAGACATTTGAAACGGATTTAAAGAGAAATTCAGTGTGGTTCAGTGCATAACATAAGGATAACAGTGCTTGCCTTGGAACTAGCCTATAGTGTGATTGTTCAACTATGCCTGCAGATGTTGCTTGGAACAAACGGTTATGAGATCTGTTTCTCAGAGGAAAGCCCAGGCAGCAGGTGGCACCAGCCCTGAGACCTAGAAAAACAACCAGAAGGAAAAAAGAAAGACAGAAAACAAACTTGTCACTTTCCTAGGCAGTTAATTTTTATTGCTCTGGTTAATTTTTATTGTCATATATAAAGTGATCTTGCAGAATAACAGTGTGCTTAGTATGGCTGATTATTTTGTTTTAATTAAAACATTTTTGAAAAACAAAATGAAATAAACATACCAACTCAATTGTGTTTGTAATGTGGAACACTTAATGCAAAACATTCAAGAGAGGCCAGAAG